CATTGCACTCTTTGCACCAGCCATCGAGCGCCAGCCAGCCCATCCGGGCCAGGCATTTACGTGCATTTACATGTCCCTGAATGCTGGCTGGAGCCTTGCATTAGGATTGCAGAACGACATCCGGAGTCGGGGGTTGGAAGCCCGGCAGGAAGGTGTCTCGCGAGGTCCGATTGGAGCACTTTCAGAACAAAAAATCCAGGGCGTCAAATCAGGACCCATGATTGACCGGGAGAAGCCCGAGCCTGCACCCATCTAGCTGCTAAGACCAAAATATTCAACCCTACAGGGCCCTGAGCCCAACACTTCGCCAGGACCTTCTGGATGAAATGCGGCAGGTGTTTTTCAGCCACCTAACGGATCCCAACCACAAGGCTTCCGAGAGCTTGATGCATCAATTCTTGGGAGTCATGGGGCTTCGGAGGCTGCGAGGTGCAGAGGTTGAAGGTTTGTGGTGTGAAGGGTTTACGGAGCTTGCAGGGCAGAGGAAGGGGGGGGAGAAGGAAGATCGAGACAAAGCACCAAACTTTGGCATGTAACCTTTTTGGTTCTTCTTGGGACATTAGAAGCTCAAAGATCCCAAAGGTCTAGCGAATCTGCGCATGTCCACTACATGGTCACTTCGCACCCGCATCCCTTCGAGATTTCCAAACCATTTCAGCCCTAACCTCACGTCCCCCAGCCCACTGCCACATCACAGACGAGCTGCGAGGCAAAGGCAGCAGCGGCGAGCAGCATCTGCGAACTTTTCGAGAACATACCAGAACAGCTCGCACAGCATGAGGACTGGATCCTGGAGGAGCTGGTTGGTCTGGGTTGTGGCGCAGATGCACAGTGGGAACGGAGGCCCCAATACCCCCATCCCCTTCAAGGTCGTGCCGGTTTGGGACGTACAAATCAAATCCGTGACCTCGAGCCTGAGGATATGGTAGAAGGCGGCCCGTAAAAAAGCGCGGAACGTTCTCCGTTTATCGATGGTGTGCTTTTCAAGATTCGGAGCTGTTGGTTTTGTTGAGCCGCCCCCCCTCTTGAGAGGAGGGGTAGTACTCCTAAGCTGCCGTTCTTATGCATGTCCACCATGTGTGTTAGTACATGCAGCGCTTAAAGCTGTAGAACCAACAGCCGACGGTGGTCAGCAACCCGCGAACTACCGCTTCAGAAGCTAAGCCTAAGCCTACCAGCCTCCCATCCAGGAGATGAGAAAGGGCATCCAGAACAGTTGTGGGGAGAACCTTCCAGCCTTATGTGACTCCGTCGCCACCATGCCGCTCGTTTGGAGGGATTACAGGGTTTAGGTTCAGAAGGGTTTAGGTTTAGGAGGTCCTTCGGGGTGGACCAGTCTTGGCTGTGGAGGGTTCCGTACCAAAGTCAGCCTTCCATTTGAGTCCCGAGAGAGCGGCTCCTGCTCTCAAGAAGGGCATATAGAGTTGGTTCGAAACCCTAAACCCCACGTGCACATTTTGGAAATCCCATAGACCCCCTGGTCTTTTTGGGAGTCCTCGGCTGAAGCTTGGCTTCCCAAGCTCACTGACTAGCCCTTCGTAGGTGGCCAGGAATCAATTCCATCAGAACTAGTAAGTATACAAGTAAGCAAGGAAGCCAGTAAACGAGTATAAGTAAGTAGGTAAATAAGTAAAAAGTAAGCACATAAGGCTGGACCAGCCGGCCACCAAGCGACTGAAGACTTCTGGTGGCCTTCTAGCTGAGCTCGAAGCCCAGCTGGCAGCTTGGAGAGGCAAACAAAAGGCCCGCAATCCGAAACTCAGAGTCTCAAACTCTGCCTTCCGAAAACCTGGGTAATTCGGGGTTTCCCCTTGTAGGGCTACCTGGGAGCTGGTGTGAACCCTAAAAGTCGGCGAAGGCAGTACAGCAAATCCTGACCCTGAACCCTGCAAATTCCATGCTCAGCCAGCTCTCGAGAGGAGCGAGAATCACACTGTCGCAAGTCCCTTTAACTGGCACTGCAACAGCGATTGGCGGCAGTCTCTTTGCTGTGCAGCAAACCTCCCCCCATGCCCAACCCCCTTTGAAGCTCTCAGCGAAGGATGGTGCCGCGGATGCCACAGCATCCTGCATCTTTGAGGCCTTGGCGGCCTTCGTGCCCGGCTGCGGTGAGGACTTTCTGGCCATGTGCCCGAAGATTCTGAGGCACGCTCCAGCTTTTGCATGTTTTCAGGGAGATCAGTTTCGATTTATATACAGGCGCCCGTGGCTCTTTCCCTCTCTGAACGAACACTCCTGATCCCTCTGAACTGGAAGGCATGCTGTTCGGGTGATCCACAACGGCCTACATCCTGCGCCGACCTCGTTGGCCCCAGCTTCGCTTCCCGATGTTGAAGACGGAGTCCCGGACCCCTGGCAGATTGGAGAGATTGTCCTCTGAAGTCCAAGACCTAAGTTCTCTCTCCCGCTAATGGTCAGGTTTGTGGGAAGCAACATCGTGTGCAGTGCAGCATCTCTGGAATAGCAGAACCCCTGAACACCCCGTAGTTCTGCACCCCCCCGCCCAACCCCCTTCTCATGAGACTCTACCTTGGACCCCTGAGGTTGTACCGCAAGGGAATATAGGGGCCATATTAGGAGAATCTTTCGGGGTACCGTCCATGCCCCAGGTGCTTGTCTCCTCCATCACGGGGAGCACGCTCATCTCCGGGCGCCTGCGGCCGGAGCTGCGCGGGGCAGAGCTCCGCGACTTGGCCTCGAGGCACCGAAGGGTGGGGTTCTTGTAAATGAGGCTCTCCATGTGAGATGGGGAGAGGACGGAAACAATTGCATCAACATCGCGTTCAATTTCAACGTGTATATACAGGGGGGGGGGGTACAGTTTTCCATTCGTCAGCTTTGTTCTGAGACACTCGCTTGAGCTTGGGAGCCCGCGTCACCTGTTTCTACCTGTTTTGGAGTAGGCAGTGCCTTTGAGGAGCCTCAACGGCAGGCAGTGCAAGCCTCCCGGACCAACTTGGTTTTTGGGTTCATAAGTAATAAGGGGTTAGGGCCAAGGCATAGCCCTTCCCACCTTGCAAACACCTCTTGTCCGAAGCCACCGGACAGATTGAATGGCTTGTCTTCTCACTTTTCCAAAAAGTTGCAGCGTGCTACATAGAAGACAAAGGATTCCCTCATGGGTAAAGGGTTCTCTAGTCCGGCCACTCCCAGCTTTGATTCAGAGATGCGATAGGGCCGATAGGGCCTAGGCAGCACAGGAGCCACAAACCGTAAGCCCGATCTGCAAATTCATCTTCACCCCCTAAGCTACAAACCCTCTCAACCCTTTAATCATGAACCCGCCTCCGCTGTCTACATTCTAAAGCCATTCTAAACGCCCAAAATCCCCCTCTCTCATCCCCAAAAATCCCCGAAGCCCCTCCTCGCAGCCTCCAGGCTGATCGGACCGGATCAGCTCTTGCCGGAGCACCTCACGATCGCAGAACTGGCGCCAAAGGGTGGGGAGTTGCTGCTGACGGCGCCTCTGGGGTTCAAAAACTCGGACATTCCAGGAACTCCCTTCACCCCAGCCCTTCAAGGCCCGAACCCCTATACAATAAATCCCACTCACATGACCGAAAAAAAAACAAGCAGAGGCTTGTTGTGCCGACGCACAACGCCGTGTACGCCAGCATGGACTTCGTGGAGTCTGTGGTCGAGGCGTCAGGAAGTTGGGGTTTGCATAGCACGAGGCGAGCTAGGGGATCCGAGGCTACCCCCACCCTCAACGATCCCGTTACCCAAAATAAGAACCAAGTTCGGCTTGACTGAGGCGTGGGCTCTCTGTGGGTACTGGGTAGCTAGTGTGGGGGGAGTATAGCGCCCCATCATCTTTCCTGTGCATACGAGAGGATACGAGAGGTGTCAGAGTCAGTCACTGCGAGGGCTTATCCTGCGCATATTCCAGCATCCGAGCTTCAGCACGCCTCACCCGTCAACGAAAAGTTCGAAAGAACTGAGCCCCACGAAAGATCCCCAAACTACCGATGCCGGCCTCAACTCACCTCTCCACTTCCGCTTCCGAAGGTCTTGGCCCCTAAGCTCGGCGCTGAAGACGACATACCCTGGAAGGAGATTGTTTCCCTCACAGCAGCTTTGCTGAAGACGTGCTGAAATACACAGCCCCCCCTCCCGCCCCCCCAAAAACAACACACACACACACACAACACACACACACACACACACACACACACACACACACACACACACACACACACACACACGCACACGCACACGCACACGCACACGCACACGCACACGCACAAGTAACATAGGGAACAACAAGTACCGCCTGTACAAGGCAAGTGTCTAGCCTAGTGGCTACTCTAAAACCTTAACTGGGGTTTGGGGTTCATCTTCGGTCGATGGAAGCCGTGACCCAAACTAGGTAGGCCCTTGGGATGTTTTATATGTTCCCTTATTTGGGTTGAAGAGGATCACATTTAGGAGTATCTTTTTCGAAGGGGTATAAGGGCCACTAGCAAAGCATCCCACACCAAGAGGTCGAAAGCTTGGAGGAGGAGCACAAGATGTCTGCGAACGTGCGACAGTCTGCCTACTGCCTGCTGGGCAGCCTCTGCAAGTCCAAGCAGGATACTTCTGGCACCTAAGACAGTTGGATTGGAATTCAGAGATGTTCAGCTTCTTTTGGGGGAAGGGGGGGGGTGGGGGAAGCGGGCAGAGGGGCAGGGGTCTTGAGATTGATTCAAAGCTGCGTGAAGCCTCTCCCAGGCTTTGGGTTGAGAGCCCTCAAGGCCTTCAGTCCGAACCGTGTCGACCAGTCAAGGCTGCTTTTCCCAAAATATCAGCAAGCCACGAAAACTCTTGGGCCTGAGATGTGCCGGCTCAGGGATGTTGACCGTGTGAGGTGCACCCTCTCCGGCTGACCCTGATCGCATGCTTATCAAACACCAAGAGCCATGTTGTACAGGGACCTTACGTGCTTGCTTAAGATTTCACAGAGGGTAAAACTTGAGTTTAGGTTCGCTGTTTTAGGGGCTGGGGCCTTGTTCATAGTGATGGTGACAGCGCGCTTGCATAAAGCGGCCTCCAGTGAATGCGAGCAGTCCATCCCGCCCCCCCCCCCCCTTTGTTTCTGCAGGAATTCTTGGATGTTCACTTGCGAGCCGTTCTGCCCAGACTGCCCAATCTGCTGGCCCCTGGCATTCGGGACAGTGGCAAGTCAGTTCCCTCGCACAAGAAAGGCTTAGACGGCTTGGGGTCTGTAAGATTTGCCAAAAGGCTCGTCAGGTGCTAGTTTCTCGACCGAGGTTTGCAACAACGCCATCTGGGCTACAATTGAGTCCGACCGCCTCTTGTCGGCTGCGGGCCTCCCATCCCAAGAGCTGCTGATCCTGGGCCAGGCGCTCCAGGATGCCATGAGCTCCAAGTCGAATCGCCACGAGCAGCAGGGGCGTATGGCTTGCACAGCTTGGGCATTCCTTGCGGGCCGACTCCCAGAGGTGGCCCAGAATCTCGAAGTGGTGCTCCAACCCTGGCTGCAGGCCGCACTTTGTGTCAAAAAACTTTGCCGAGAGAGGCTTTGGCATGCTCCAGGAACTGCTCTAAACATCCTACAGGGGCCCCCCTAAACCACCCCTGAAAAGATTCCCACAAAAGAACTCCACAGACCCAGGCCATGAGGTTGGGAAGTGACGAGCAGGATTCGAAGGCCTGGAAAGGCCTGTGCGCTGCCGCGGAGTCTCAGCCCGAGGTCTTGGTGAGACATCTGGACATTCTGAAGAACACCATTGCCAGCTTGAGGGGCCTAAGGGCCAGCTGCTCAGGTTGGGTCTTGAGCATCTCCTTTGCTGCTTTCTACGGTGAAACCCCTCAGAACAGTGCGGCCTCTTTAATTGAAGTATACCTATAAGGGACTTATGACTTCAGTTGAGTGGCGTACATTCATGGGGGCTCATTCCTCAATATGTCTTTTTGCGCACGAAGAGAGACCTTGCAGCAAAGGAAGGCCGGACGAGCCCCTTGAGATGGAGGCCCACTTTGAACATCTACTGGCTCTCTGCAGAACCGCCACCCCTTGACAAGAAAGATTGCGCAGAGCTGCGGTCGTCGGCACGTGACAAACAACAAGGGTTACATATGATCTCGGGCTGCCACCGACCCCGCCCCCCCACCCCCGATGGGATCCCGTCCTGCGTCCTCCCTTGGATCCCTACCCCCATGCCCCCCTCTTTTTTTGTGGCGTGGGTGTGGCTGGGGTTAGGGTTTAGGGGTTAATGTATTTAAGGTTAGGGCCTACCCCCGCGCCCCCCCTTGGGTGTGGTTGGGGGGTTAGGGTTTAGTGTTGAAGGTTTAGGGTTCGGGGTTTAGGGGCTAGGGTTTAGGCCCGTGGTGTGATTGGGGAGTTGGTTTTAGAATTTGGGGTCCCGTGCTACCCCTGCACCCCCCTTGTGGTGTGGGTGTGGGTTGGGGGTTTAGGGTTTAAGGTTTAGGGCTTACATTAGTTTAGGGTTTAGGGTTTGGCCTCCGTGCCTGTGCTGTGAATGGGGGGTTGGCGTTTGGGGTTGAAGGTTTGCGGTTTAAGTTCAGGGGGTGAGGTTCAAGGTTGGTTTAAGGTTCAGGGCTGCCGCGATTTGAATCTTGAAGAAATCCACGGCGTGCGCTCTTCAAAAGACCGGCCCAAGCAAGAACGTGCGGGGCCCAGGGGCCATGAAGGAGCTGCTCCTTGCAAGCATTTGCCTCACTTCGGCTTTGGCTTTGGATGTGATCGTGGTCGGAGCGGGCGTCGCTGGCTTAAGCGCCGCCAAAAGATTGCAAGACGCAGGTCACAGCGTTACCCTCCTAGAAGCCAGAGATCGCATAGGTGGGTGTCCCTCGCAGAAAAATGCCCCCTCTGGGAGTTTAGGGCCCAGGCTTCAAGGTCCGGGGGCTTAATTACACTCTCGAACCTCATTTGACTCAATTGACTTCCCCAGGTGGCCGCACCTGGACGAGTCACAGCTTGGGCTTTCCGACCGACCTCGGCGCTAGCTGGATTCACGGAGCAGGTCCTCTAAATCCTTTGACGCTCGGGCGCCTATCAAGTCTCCCCGGAGTGCCGGAGGGCCGGGGGGGGGGGGGGGGGGGGGGGGGAGGGAGGGACGGGGGTTCACACAAGCCAGGACTCCCTTTATCTCAGAATTTGGCCTGGTCACTGTAGAGGAGGCTGATGAACAGAAGTGTCGTGCCTGGGCATTTTAGCCATCATGGTTTCTTGCTTTCAAAGGCGAGGTTATTTTGCGGACATAAGCGCTGCGGCTTCGGAATTTCGTGTCCTTGTCAGGCTACGACAGGAATGGCTACAAGTACAGCCGCAGGGAGATCCTCGCCTGGGAAGCTGCTTGCTGGGCTTCAGGCTTCTATGGCGGCCCCTCGACCCATCTCGGGAAGAGACGCATCCTTTGACCAGCAAACCAAAGACACAACCTCCATGCTGCTGCGGTATAGCATCTGCATCGTGAGGCGTAGGACGTCCTGCGTCCGCAGATCCTAGGATTTAGACCCTTAAACCTTGAACCCCTAAACCCGAAATTGCACGGTGTTCTACCATGCATATGATGCTGGCTTCCGGCCTCCTCAGACGGTCCTCAGGATATGGCTCGGACTCCACCAATACCCTGGAGGTGGATTTGAGGCTCTCCCTGGTGTTGTTGAAGTGCTAATTGCTTTGTACGAAGATGAATACGAGTGTTGCTGTCCCCGTCCGTGCCCTTTGGTCCACGGGTCCTTTGGGGCATGGCAACCAGTGAGATCGACAAGCCTTCCAGCATGATCCTAAACCCCATACCCCGGAGTCCCTCAGCCTCAGCAAAACCTTTAGCCCACATTGCGGCCAGACGGCCTCACTCGCAAAGCAGCAAACCCCAATCCTAGACTGTGTAGGAACTACTACCCGTCGTTCTTCGGTACCGTGGAAGGAGCCCTTCTGTGGAACCACTTGGGTCGTTCTTGGTTGAGGTTGACGGTTCAAAATTACAGGCTCTGCTCTGTTCACCATTCAGGCCCGCCCATACCCCGATTGAGACTGCACGAGACAGGAGAGATGTGCCTTGCCGGCTGGGACTTCAACGAAGGTTCCACTCTGGATGCTGGGATTCTTTGAGGTTTTTGAAGAGTTTAACCGTGCATCCCCTGTTAGCCCGAAGCCCCAAGGCCCACGGCATCCTAAGCCAGGAGCTTGAGTCGATTCTAAACCCTAAACTGAGGAATTCTTGGGAGTATAAAATATCTTTTTGGGGTACTATAATTCCTCAGAACCAGCTAAAACTAACACTGCTAGGGTTCCAAGTTCAGTATAGTGAAGCTCTCGAACCTGGTTCTTGTTGTCTATGCCTGGGAGCCAAAGGATTTGGTGAGCACAGCCAACAGTTTTCAAAGCGAAGTGACCGAGCCTCGGCAACATGAGAGTTCCGCAGGTACTTCAAGAAGGCATCAGGGTTTAAGGGCTCCGACGAGTATATGGGCATTTCCCAAAAATAGGGGTGCCCCTTTTGTTCCCCAAATAGAATAGAATCCCTTTACAGTGACCCCAAAAAGGGTACGCCTATTTCGGGGCGGCTTTAGACCTGGCTCCCCAAGCTTTCCGAAAGCTTTCCTAAACCCTAGACTCCCCAACCCCTGACAAGGGGCCATGGGATGTTGGGGTTGAAGACAGTCGAAGGTGTCAGATTTGGATACTCATGGAAGTTTCTTGCACTTGGGCCTTGCTTTCTTCAGGGAATTTGTCCGGATGTCGCGCTGTAGCAGATGGCGCACTTGTTTTGGGCCACGTTGTTATAACACAGCCCCTTCACGAACGGCGTCCCAAAAGACACCATAATGTACTGACCGTCCTTTTACGATGCCGTCACAGATTCCGTATAGCCTTGGTCAAGGCAAAAGAGCCCGTAGTTCCAATCAACCTTCAATGTGGGGGGCTGGGTTTCGTGGATGTGTGCATTTGTAAGGGAGCGGGAAAGGCTTTTAGAGGCATTGGGGCTTTGTTTTTTTTGTTGGCTTTGTCGTGCTTCCCTTTGAACACTTCTCAAAAATGTTCTGTGTTCTAAAGCCGGACGTGCCAAATTCTTTCTGATTTTAACTTCTCAGCACTTAAAACCCTCTGAGCCCATGCGCTTAGGACTTAGGCCCTTAGATCACTTAACGCCGCCCATGAACCTCAACCCTTGCGCCCGCCTCAGACTAGCGCTGGTGGCCCCGAACTGATCCTCCTTGATGGCTACAACACTCTGACTGACAACCTGACCGCTCAGCTTCTTGGAAATCCCAATTTGGCATGTTGTACAATGAAAGGCAACTGCGACGGCTCCAAGTAGCGGAACCCTGAGCAGCTTAGGTTTCAAGCTGCGGGTGGAACCGTGGTGATGAACGCCGCAGTGACCGAGGCCCATTAGTGAAAAAGTATAAGTTGCAGCTTCTAGGGTTCATAGCTTTTCATGAGAATGCCACATGGTTAGTCCCCCAGGTGATGATGGCCTTTTGGGGACCCTCTTAAAAGAGACGGTATGTCTTTGGGAGGAACGATGTGATTACCCACCAGGTCAGTCCTGCCCACCAGCTTGGGTCTAGGACGTTTTCTTAGGATCGCCCATGTGGTCTGCCCGCGGCAACCCTACTTACACCCTCATTTGTACTTACGCTTGGGGGGTGTACTTAATTCACTATCCTAGTAAGAGAATCAGCAGGCACCCCAAAACATGGAGCTGCATGTGGGGTCTAGGTGTCGCCAGGTCCAGTACTGCATGGGGTACAGTGAGAACGGCGTGATCCCTCCTTGCGCGGTCAAAGTGTCGACCGCCACAACGCAGTACACGGGTGATGCGGTGATTGTTGCCGTGCCTCTGGGTGTTTTGCAAGCCAACAAGGTCTCGCCTTCGGGGGCATAGGGGTTTGAGTCGATTTGCTCTCCGGGTTTTGGTGGGTTGTGCTTAGAGCGATAGGACCACAGGACCCATGTAACAGGGGCCCTAGACATCTCCCTGCAGGTGGCATTTGTTCCGGCCCTCCCATCTTCCTACACCGATGCCATCGCACGGATGCAGTTCGGTGTCGTACCTAGGTCCCGCTCACTTACAGTTATTTTAGCAGCTCTTAAGCTTTGGGAGAGTAAAGAAGGGTTTCAGGGTGTGGGGTGTACGGTTTCTTTTAACTTGGTGTCGATGCGCCATGCGGTGGTTTACGCTTCCGGGCCCAAACCCTTCAAGCCTTCAAAGCGCGAGGTGAACAAGGCAGTAGCTGTTTTCGACACCGACTTTTGGACAGCTGGGTGTGGGACTGACCTGATGCTGGCAATCAACCAGCGTGGGGCAAATATTGACAATCGTGGCATGTTCCCGGCCCTTGTTCTTGTGTTTGTGCTGGCTATTCTACCGGTAAGGCCGACTTCGACCAGTTGGCAGTTTTTGTGTTACTCTGAGTCTCTGGGACTTAGGTTCCCATATTTCATGAACCTCAACCGCGATTGGAGGGGCAGCAAGGCGCTGCTGGGTTTCGCCGTGGGACGATATGCGGTTGCCTCTGAGCAGAAGACAGACGCCGAGGTGGAGGCTGACTTCATGTCAAGGCTTCGCCAGCAGTTTCCGAATGCCCCCAACCCGACGCATTTCCTGCGAACCAAGTGGGGCTCAGACCCGTTTGCCCATGGAAGCTACACCACCCCCTCGGGCGTCAATGCAAAACTGGATGAGCTGGGGCTGCTTAGCCAGGCCGTGAGCGCCTCTCTCTCCCTTGCAGGACTAAGAGTAGCTTATGCTTTTGCTTTAAGTTCCACCCTGTGAGTTCAGAGTCTACAGGAAAGTGCTTCTGTACCCTTGGATCACGCACGCAACTGCCAGAGGAGAGCACACCAGCCCTACTTGGGCGGCCACCGTTCATGGAGCGTATCAGTCAGGTCAACGAGCCGCGCAAGAAGCTAGGGTCTTGTAGTATGCTTGTTTCCCTTGGGGTTTTTGGGAGCATTGTGTACGCCTGTATGCCTTGCCGCCTTGCCCCCTGCGACTTCTTCAACTCAGGAGATCATGGATGGCAGGCCATCGGGACTTTCGTCGGCAATGTCGACCCACGCCACTTCAAGGACGTTCCTGTTCTTGCTTTCGCTGGCTGCTCTGCCAGCCTTGTAGATGCTGGAGAGTAATTCCTCCAACATCCCGACCAGCACTTGTGTATGCGAGCAAAGCTCCATCGACACAGTGCCTTATACCCCCCCCTTGTCATTCCCCTCTTGCGATGAAAAACGGCGGAAACTCGCAAGATCCAGATCCCCCCAACTTCGCGATCACTTTTGCAAAGTGCCATTCATGATGACCTTGGAACTGCATGACCGTATCTACAAAGCCCGCTATAAAGCCCGCACAGAGGAAGCTCACTGCCTGGAAAGGTCACGCTCCATGGATCCTGATCTTCGCCACGTCCTTGCTTCTTGGCTTGGAGTTTAGAGTGGTTAAGTACAGCACATGTTGGCTTGAATCTCACTGCACGTTCAGACTTTGCGGCTCAGCTACAGCTGACTCTAAACACTTGAAACCCCACCTTAATCCGAAGACCTCAGGTCATGGTCCAGATCGTTTGTCAGCCCTCCGAGGCGGTTTCAGTGGGCTTAGGGTGCCCTCGACTTGGGCCATGTAGCAATGTGGGGCATTTCCCACATCTAGGTTTTCGAGGAGTTTGGGTTTTTGGGGGTTCAGGGCTTCGGGGGTTTTTTGGGCTCTTGAGACTCTTAGGGCTTCTGAGGCTAAGGGATGTGCCACGGGGTGTCAACCGTGGAAGTTGTGAATTTCCCCTTTTGCTTAGCTGTAGCACCAATACTCGTCAGGGGCGGCTGAAAGATCTACCGAGTATATGCTTACCTACCTCTGGCCTCAGGCCCTTGATATCCTTTTTTTGTAAGAATTCCGGCCCTTAATTGAAGGTCTCGAACCCTCAATTTTGCATCCCAAAGTCTTAATTTTCGGTCCCAAACCCTTAATGCCGGGTCCATCCTTACTTTAGGGTCCAAACCCTTATTTTGAGTTTTGAACCCTTAATTCTACATCCGAAACCCTTACTTTTCGGTCCCAGACCCTTGGTTTAGGGTCCAAAAACGCTTTGTCCCTTAACTGTCCCAAACCCTTAACTTAAGGGTTCAAGCCTTGAATTTAGGGTCCAAATCGCTAATTTTAGAATTTCGGCCTTAATTATTGCAGGTCTCGAAAGACTTCAAGACTTGAGTCACCAGGGCCTCTGCCTCAAAGCCCAAAGGCCAGTTCTCAAAGCCACCAGTACTGAAGCCCTCAACGCTAAGCCCGCTTGCAAGATGCTGTTTGTTTTTTCGTTTTTTTTTTTCGTAATCTTATTCACTGTACCGTTCACTGCGTTCGCTAGTTGAGTAACAGCCTTACAACTCTAGGAAGTTCATGCAGCTTTCGCGTTAGCTTCGCTCTCTGGGTTTAAATTACTATCGCACGGCTCATTCTAACACTACGTTTACCCCGTGCACTTCACGCGGGAAATTCATGCGCCAGCACATTTCTTGCAATTCGACCGCCTGTACGTTCATGCGCTTCTTTCTCTCGCACATCCAGCGTTCATGGTGTACTTCTATTTGGGGGTTCAATGGTCAAGAACCCAGGGGTGAAAGCACCAGCGATTTGGAGGAGAGAACTGAATATTAGACCTGGAAATGAAGGAATAAGAGTGGGCGCCGACTCCTCCTAAACCCCTATAAATCCATATTGCCGGAGAAACCCTCGATTGGCAAGAGGTTGGGCTCAAACCTCGCCTCGCGAGATCTGAGAGGCAGCTTCCGCGATCTTCCGTGCAGATTTGATGGATCTCGTAGAGCTTTCGGGAATTCAGGTTGAGGCTATCATCAAGTCTGCTGTCCCGATTTTACCGTTAACATGGTGGATGGTGTTTTTGATTTCAGGTTTAGGGGGCCGCAAAGCCCCAAGCCTGGAAGCCCTCGACCCTAAGACCTGTTGAGGCGTGCCGGTTGCAACGCGCTTGCATGATTGGTCCTTCAAAACCTAAATGAGCCATAGAAGGTTTATGGTCCATATACCTAGCTTGATAGGGAAGTAGAGCAGCATACGGCACGCAGGGTCAGCATTGTTCATCCTTGCAAGCTTGGGCTGCTGAGAGTTGCCTTGACCCCTCAGCACTAGATCCTGAACGCCTTTCAAACATGAGAACCCTGCTGAAGTCCTAGGCCCGAAAACCCTGAGCCCTGTTGTGTCCTAAAACCCGAAAACCCGAGCCTCACCCCTTTTTGCTCAGGACGCCGGGGCGCGCCGCTGCCGGCCAAGCCGGCCGAAGAGGCGCTGGAGCTCGGGGAGCTCGATGAGCTCCTCGGGGTAAACAGGGCGGTTCTCTTCATGACTCTAGGGCGAGGATACCTGGGTTTACGGTTTAGAGTTTAGGGTTTAGGGGGATGGGTTAGGGACTGGACTGTTATGGGGTTTAGCAGGGGATTGGGATTTTGGGTTCGATATTTGAGGGAGGTTTCTCTGTGGTCTCTATGTCCGGCTTTGCCGCTGCGGCGAAGCAAAGCGAAGTCATGGATAGGGTGCCTCTGACGCTGAGAGTGGCATAGTCCGTGAAAAGCCTTCCTCAACAACCCAGAACTGCCAGTTACGGCCATGAGGTGGGTGGGTGGGGGTGGTACTGCTGCTGGTGTGGTTGGCGCGTTAAACAAGAATCTACAACCCTAGACACTTTAGAACCATCTAACACCCTAAACGCGAAACAAAGCAACCTAAGCCCTATCAAACCTGAACGGATAAATGTTGAGCCCACCTTGTCTAGCGTGGGGCTCAACGGCGCACAGTCCTTAGCCTTGAGGATAGTTGCTCTCACCCGAGTCGTCTCGAACAAAACCAGGTTCGTGGACTCTATCTGGGGCCCCTTGCCTGCATGACAGGTCCGAGAGGGCACAGGGTGTCCATTGTGTCACAACCAGGGCTTGCCGTCGGTTGCCTGGGTCATATGTCATGGGAGAGACTGCACGCTGAAGTCCTGAATCCTAAAGATCCTAAATATGTTAAAAGCTCGATCGATCGCTAAACTCCTGGGCCCTAAGCCCGACAGCTTTGAGGCAATGCCAAGTCCCTTTTGGATTCCGAGCCTGGGCGGAAGCTGACTGAGCTTGCCGGCGAGGAGTGGACTTAGAAGTTTGGAGGCGGGGGTTTTAAGGTTCCGTCTCTACAGGGCTTAGTTCTGCTGCTTCAGGCCTGATGCCTTCAGCCTTGCACTCGTACTCCCTAAGGACTCGTCACCCCAAGCTCTCCAGAGCAACAGCACAAGAAAGACTAAAAATCCAAAGCCTCAGGCGGTCCATGTGCCCCTGTCGATTGAATCCAAGTAGGCTCCATCAGGGGGTCTGTTGTAGAAGGGATGATTAAAAAGAGCTCTGCATCATGGAGTTCTATACTGGAAAGTGCATGAATGCCACCCCAATCACTTGTTCCCTGTGAAGGAGCGCTTGGAGAGCATTAAGGCTGGGATCAGCTCGACAGGCGCTTGGGGAAGGATTCAACTGTGTTACATCAAGGTTGTACAGGGTTCACAAAAGCTTCCAGGCGCCGCGGGCGCCACATTCCGTATATTCCGCAAGGCAATTTCCCGCCGTTCATGAGGGGGTCATACTTGCAAACCAAGGTTTCTGAGGCTTCACCCCAGCTCAGCCGAACACCTGGTATCCACTTGGCAGGTTCTGGCGCAGTGGCTATGATTCCCATCAGCAGCTTGCCAGCAAATTTAGTACCCGGCCTTTCGGCCCTGAGTCATAAGTCCGAAAACCTCCCGAAGCCCTGCACTACCTTCGCTCAAACCCGAATCCAGCATGCACCTCTGTTCGAAGGCGTGTAAAGCTTAGGTAGCTTTGGACTTCACTTTTCTTCTCGCGGGCTTCAGGTGTCCTGTAGAAATCCTCCCATCCCGAAGCCTAAGCTGCCAAAAGGATCAGTGTCAGGCGTAGTGGTCTTAAAGGGGTTTGCTCTTCCCTAAACTCAACCATCCTAAACCCCAAACTTCGAGAACGCAGGCCTGCTAGATCCGGATCGACTCACTCCCCGCTGGGAGTTCCAACTTGCTCCTGGCCTGTTTGGGTGCTGGTGGAAGATGGGAAGTTGGGGGCCTGTGAGGGACTGCACAGGGCTTGCAACGCAGTCACGTGGAAGTCATGTGAGGACGTCTTGCGCATATCACAACAGCAATATAGTCTCTACCGAAGCTTCAAGTCGTCCTACAGTCCCATTACAACCCTTAAGGCGATGTCGGGGTGACCCCGAGTCAGCTGAGGACATGCTGGCACTAGATGTTTTCCTCTTTGGATTGGTGTGGCGGCGGCTGCAATTGATACCACTTGTGAGCCATCAGAAATGCTGAAGTTTTTCAGCATGCGAACTGTGTGTGAACAACTCGCACTTTTTTCTCCTCCTACTGCTACAACTACTCCTAGTCTCAAGCTACGAGTGTTTCATCTTTTGATGGTGATGTGTTCAATTCTTTTGCTGTTGGGCTTCTTGACTGTGACTTGAAGCTGTTGATGGCTCACCCTTTGTTACTGCCAAGAATGAGCTGCGGCTCTCTACTTCCTTCCGGATGAGCCGAAGTTTCCAGTTGCATATAGGATTTGGGATGTTCCCCCTTGTACTGACGGTCCTTAATAAGGATTAGAACAGTATAACCCCTATTAAGGACTGTTAGTATAGGGGGGAACATCCAAACACATATGCTGCTTTTTTTCCATGGCAACTGCAGTGGCTCGGCAAGGTATCGCTACGCTGTGCGTCAGGGAGACGACAATCCCATGCTGCGGCTGGGTGCCTCGTCGAGGTTTGGAGTAGGCCTGAAGGTTTCGAACCTTTTTTGGTTAAGTTGAGCTCAGGGCTCAGGGGATGGCAGGTTCGCGGGCAAAGGATTCCGGGTTTCCACACTCAGGGTCCCATGGTCTCTTGCAGGGTAAGACTCAAGGTAGGTTTGGAGGCACGACACCCAGGGAAAACGCAGTATTTCATTTTTGAAGGTAGAGTTATAGAGAGGAGACCAAGAACACTGACAGGTGCGAAGCACCTGTGTGAAAAGTGGTGTTAACTGCGTGCTCAATCCAATGTCCCCTGCTTTTTGGACTGGGCTTATCACGAGTGAAAATGTAAGGAACGCAGGGGCGGCGTCTTCACCGGTGTGAGCTTTTCCCAAAACAATCGTGGAAGTTGAGTTCTCCATCTAGTAAAAACGGAGGGGGCGCGAGATCGGGTCTTTGCCGCGTCAACGTTTCGTGCTGAAGAGCTGAGGTGGGGTTGAACGCGTGTAATGGGAAGGGGCGTAGCAGGGATGGCAGGCTGAATTGCAGGGTTTGGCTTTTCGGGGCGTAAAATGAATGGCCAGCAAGCCAAGGCAGGCTGTCACAGCCATGGGCCCCGCAACAAGTGCAGACAAGTTTTCGGATCACGGGCAGCTTAAGGATGCAAACGTGCGAACGACATGGTGCAAGCCGGCCCCCATCCGAAAATCACGAGACGAAGCAGGTGAGGTCTTTTCGACAGCTTTGGCCTTTCAAGGATGAGTGAGGGGCGAGGTTCTGTGCTGAACTACGAAGCCGGGGATTGTTGAACTGTCGCATGCTTAGTTGCAACCATTGGTTGCTGGTCTCACCCCAAACCCAACGCAGGGCTCAGGGACGTGAATGAACAGTTCGTGGTTAACGTCCAAAATTCAAGCTTAGCTTCCGAGATAGTGCAGTTTAGAGCGAGCAGAATCCAGAGCTCAAGGTGTCTTGGGCGCTTTTGTCTTGCCACGCGCACTCTTCCTGGTGCGCATGCCAGCAGAATGCCAGGCCACAACCATGGAGCCATGAGGTAAAGTCAGGTTGTGTTTTGGGGGGGGGGGTTGACGATATTAGGGGGGTACCTTCTTGGGGTCCTTGTTAGAAGGGGATCCCAGTATTTGGGGGTCTATATTAAGGGGTCCCGCAATGTCATAAACCCTCATGTGCGTTCAGGCTTGTTAAGCCAAACTCGAGGGATCGCCTTAAACAACAAACCACTAAAACCCCCAGCCGAATCTGAAGCAAAGCCCTGCCCGTGTTGCACGGCAAGTCTTTGCCGAAGCTTGATCCAAGAAGCTGTTCAGTGCCTGCTCATGCAGCATCATCCCACTTCATGCCACTGCATGCCCCTACGAAGCCATTGAGGGGTATTTGGATCTCAGGGATGGTTTGGGTAAACCCTTGAAACCCTACCATGGCCAGAGCCTGAGTCCACAGGCCCTGCCGCTCAGCTGTGGTCCTCCCCTCGGCCACACAGCCTGCAGTTTATGTGGCATTGGGCGTTCGGGCTTCAGGGGAAGATTGACGGTTGTTGGTTGTTTTGGGGGAAGGTCGATTCCAACCTGCGGCGCTGCACTACACTGTAAGACCACGACGCGGCACATCGCAAGTGCCACGCGCAGGAGGGGAGGCGAAGCCGTCCCTGCCACGTTTTCACGACACAGAGCGATTGAAGCACATTGAAGAACGCCAAAACTCTTCTGACCCGATGAAGCCCCGAAGCCCGCTGGGCAAGCTGGCGCCGCGGGCAAATGAACCATCAACCTTCTTCTCGTTATCGTTGGCACCCCATAGCGTTGGCCAATGCCGATTCGGGAAACAGTCGCACCCCTGTTTGGAAGGTTCGGTGGGCGGCCATGTAATCAGTAGGACGAGTGGGATCAAGACGGTTCTGATGCTTGCTGACAACACGAAGCCCAAGTCAGAAACCAAGCAGAGGTGCTTCACTGACTGCAGGCTAAATCACTAACACAGTTTGTTGACACTGCAGAGACTGTTCTGAAGACCGAGGCTACTTCAGCTGGGACATGCTGGCCCAGGCGCCGGCAGTAGGACCGGGCGGCTGGAAACGTTTCAGTTTCTGTAACCGGCATGGACCTGAGTTGACGGCCTCAATGCATTGAAGCCCCTGCTTGGCCTTGCCTTCCTGAGCTTTCATGATGTTTTTGCTGCAGAATACCCAAGAATATCGAAACGGCTTTTCTGAAATGACTTGAGCAGTCTTATTGTTCAGCGGCGCAGGCTTCACACTCAGGGGGATTGTAGGATTCAGAGACCTTGTTTCAAACTACGAAGCCCTCCGAACCTTGCGCGCAGGTGGCTTGGCACTTCGTCTCCGGCGGGGTGGTCTTCGGGGTGGCCATCTACGGATTAGTCGGGATCTCGTTGTGCGTGTTGCCGGACCCTGCAATGTGTACCCCAACCGAGCCGGCACAGCTGTCTCTGTTGACAAACAGTCGGCAGAATCAGCGACTTGACCGAGGAGCGTGCCATAGCTTCAGGCTTCGTATGCCGCTTCAAATCGTCTTGATCTGGCCTGCGCCAACTGAGAGCTCTAGCCGAAACGGATTGCTGAGGGCCGGAGAAATAGGCACTGCAGGACACGTATAGGGGGGCTTGCGGCTGAGTTCGGAGAGGAGCTTGGCTTCGACAAAGTTGTAGGTGTTGGCATGTTTGGGTTGTTGCATGTTGTTGTTGCACGCCTCCAGGATTGCATCAGATGGAATCGCTGCATTGATTTACAAGCCTGGCTATCTTCAACATCATATTTAAGGCGACATGCCAGGATGGCTACTGGCACATGTGGGCTGCACGATGTCACGACGTCATGATTTGACCGCAGCCCACACGGCCCAGGATTCGATTTCTTCACTATGAAGTAGTGAAGTAGCCTGGCCTGGTCCAATGGCAGGTGCTAACGAAAGCGGTGCTGCAACGCAAGCCTCGGAGCTTGCACCAAACGACGCAGCCAAGCCGGCGGCTGCTCAGGACATGGAGGACCTCGATGCTCCGCGGAAGGGCTGCCGGTACAGGCCGCTGTTCTGAATGTGAGTGTGGGCATCGGTGCTTCATTGGCCCAAAAGTGAGTCAAGTACCGTCCGCGCCCTAAAACCCTCTGCTAGCCTCTACTCACGAGCTAGACTGGAAGATTTGCTGGAGCTGACACTGATCCAGCTGCATGTGTAAGAATTGGACTGCTGCTGCGCCAGGGTAAAGTTTTTGCTCGTCTGCGTGATTCTCCCCGTGTGCAACGGCCTTCTGTGCAGCATGCTCTGGGCGGCGAACTCCTTGCACTATCAAGAGCAAGGACAGTAGCGGGATTCAGGTAATGTTGCACTGCCTTGAATAACTTTAATAGAGAGCCCCCCCCCCTCCCCCCTCCCAAACAAATCTATAAAGAAATGCCCGCAGGACCCCCTCAAACAAGTTGGGGGGGGGGGTTGGGGGGACCATCATGGCCCTCAGACCCTCAAGCCTTTAGGACCGTAAGGCCTGAAGCTTTCCCCCCCACCGGGCCTGTGTATTATAGAGGGTGACGCAACAGTTTTTAAACAGTGAGTCAGGCTAGCCCGTGGTCTACCGGCTCCTTAAGATTACTGGAGCCCAAGGCCCTCAGGGCCTCAAGCCTTGCTGCTTCAGCCCTTAACCCTACACACAAACCCTTCCAAAAAAAGGACACCATCCGGAAAAAACCTTGTGATAATAGAGGAACAAACGGAGTTCGCAGAATAGTTTTTTAAGCTTGTGATTCTAGACCCCCCCCAAAACACTAAAGCCAGTGCAACATTGGCATGCCCGATCTGAGCAAGCCTTTAAGCCCACTGGACACCAGGATGGCCGCTCTGGCGCTTGGGCGTGATTGGCCTCGTCTCTTCGATGGCCAGGCTTGTGATGACTCAGCTTTCGAATCTCTTCGGCCCGTGGTTCTCCCTGTTGATCAACATTGTGCATCTTGGCTGTTTGGCGCCGGTCTTGGTCACAGTGCAGGAGGAGCGTGGGGTTGGGGAGGGGGGCAGTCTCGGCATGTCTCGGTCGACCTGCCAGAGCGTGTTCCATCTGTCAGCACTCAGCGGCCTTGCGACAACAGAAAAGACATGTTCCAGAGCAGGAGAGACATCGCCAAACACTCTTTCGTAAATTTCGTAATTGATGAACGAAGCCCGCGCTAGTTAATCGCCATCGACCGACTGTCGGATCTTGCCTGGTGCCAGAGGAGTGGTATGTGGCTTTGCAGATGTTCGTGAGCATATGCTTGGATGCTGTTCTCACCAACGACGCCATTGTCTTCTTCCACTTCTCAGAGTCGGAGAGCGAAGCCACTTACGCAACCTCTTGCCAGCTGCAGTGTTTTTTGGCCTCCGCTTGTTAGCAGCTTGGAGTTTCTAGGCGGGTTGGTGTAATGAGAGCAGCGCAGACTCTGAATGGTTTCAGCATACGGTCTAGGCTATGTGCTGGGCTACGCGAGTGCCTCCACCATTGGTGGGGCCATCTACGACCTGGCCCGTTGGCCGGGCGTAGTCATTGCGCACGTCTGCCTACAAGTGGTCGTGTGTGGTGTGCTCGTGGTGGAGCCATGTGTGCACAAAAGTATCGCAGACCTATGCCGTCGATGTTGCCGTCGATGCTACAGCCACACAGAGGATTCGAAACCGACTGAGATGAGCTCTGTGCTGCCCGGGTCGGAATCGGCGGGCATGTCCATACGTGTAGTGGCGGTACCTCCCACCGAGCAAAGTCTTCCTGGCGCAGTTGCAGAAGATCTCGACCAGGACGGCCCGCTTGGACCCACCTTGGACAACCTTTGTTTCAGCTGCTACTGAAGCAAGGTTTCTCCAACAGCCTAGACCCTAAAACTCCTTGCCATGTCCCTGCCATGACTGAAACCAGCACGAAACACCTGTGGCAGCACCCGGGCGCCAGAGTTTGTACTCTATGCTGCTTAGAGTCGCAACAGTCGTACTTGCGCACTGTGTTTGAAATCGCGCCCCCATCTCCTTGCAGAGTGTGGGTTTTCGAGCCAACGTATTGACGTCTCCTGTGATGGTCTTTTAGGGTCTTGTGAATTCTTCACCGCTTGCTTTCCCTGGCCAGCATCTCCTTTGCGGGATGAAAGTTTGCAAGGTTACAGGACGTACCTGGGGTGGTCTTGTTTGTATCTGGTGCTCTTCCTGCTCACCCGCCATCTTCCTTCAGCGTTGATACACGGCTCCTTCAGGCATCCCCATGCGCCTTTCAGACCCCCAACTCCAATGCGCAAGGACCATGGGGCTCTGCGGAATCGAGCTCGCTCATCCACAAACAGTGAAGACGGCGACGTCCAAAAAATTGTTCCGGCACCTTCTGAAGACAGACCCCAGCATCTTGGCATGTCTAGCTCAAGCAAGCTGATGGTAGCGGTTGGTATCAAGGCACTGTACAAGATGCATACATGTTCAACGGAGTCCTGCTTGGAGCAGGCAAACGAAGGTTTAAGATTTTGAAGATCATGCAATAGGAGCAGCTGAGGCCTTCGCCAAACACTCAGGCCTTCCTGAGCCCTGCGACTGGGATAGGGTTGGATAACTGTTGGATATCTCAGTTCTGCCCATTAGCGAGCCTGATTTTGGTGATGCGAGCTTAGGCTGCAGGACACTTAGCCAACTCCAGCCCAGGATCAAGCAGTTGTGGCCCCATGGGGCAACCGACTCCTCTTCGGCTCGGATAGCAACTACTCTGAGGCCTTCGCTGTCATGAGGGTTGAATCTTGAGGTGTAACCAGGGACACGTTTGGGTTCCAAACGCGGCCAAGACGCAAAGGCCCACGGCGGTCAAAAGCAACGCATACCCCAAAAGAACGTGGCCGGCAGGACACAGTTCCGCACGTTCCATTGCTGACAATGGTGTTGCCTGCATGCGTTCTCTGTCCGTGGCCTACCGGCTATTTTGACGAAATGGTGCTTCATATTGTTTCATCTGTGAAGGTTTATGACTCTGCATTTTGGCGGCTTGCGCGTTAACCTGCCTCCACGTTTCTTGTCCCAACAAACGACGGAAATCTGGAGACGAAGCTGCTAGCAAGGGGTCTAGAGTCTGGGGATCAGTCATGTTGCGCAAAGTTTCAGCTTGAGAGAGTGACGTTGACAGCCAGAGCTGTTTTGCAGGCAGGTCGGCCCCGGGCTGGCTCGGGTGGCAGCAGCGTCGGCAATCGGCCCCGGGCTGGTTCGGGTGGCAGCGGCGTCAGCTACTCTTCCCAGCAGTCTTTGGCGAAGGTGTGAGAAACCTCGAAGTATGTTAAAGTTTGCTCTTATCTACCTACTCTTGCTCACTTTGAGAGGGAGGAGGGAGGGAGAGAGAGAGAGAGAGATAGAGACAGGGACAGGGACAGGGACAGGGACAGGAACAAAAACAGAGAGAGACAAGCAAGACCTCGGACGCGCGCGCCCTTCGGGGCAACTCCTTTTCGGGAGGGCTAAGCGTGTGGAGAGAGAGAGAGAGAGAGAGAGAGAGAGAGCGAGAGAGAGAGAGAGAGAGATGAGAGAGCATCGCCACGGCAACAGATGTGCAGGCAAAGCGTGTCTCCGAGTTGTTGGCGCAATCCATCCCACCCCAGCGCAACTCATTGGTGATGCGCGTTCCACCCGTTCCTCCACCGGACCCATCCCAGCCTTCCGATTTGGACCGGCGGAGCCGGCTGCCCAGGAGTCTCTGGCTCCCTGCCTTCCTGGCTGGTCTGTTCAGCTGCGTGTACAACTTCGCCTATGTGACAGAGTTTGTCCTCTTCGCTATCTACTTCAAGGAACAGCACAACTGGCACTCCGCGACATGGGCCGGAGTGGCGCAGTCTTCCGGCGACATCTTGGCTGCAGTGATCCTGCAGTTGATTGCGCGCTTCGCGCCGCCATCACCTGAGAAGGAGCAGGCAGGCTTTGATGCTGGCGGCGCCACTCGCGCGTGGTATTCCATATCGGCAAAGCCGTACAACTTGGTTTGGTTCTGCCTTTGGTGGGTGGTTCTTTGCCTGGGCATGACTGTCCCGAACTTGCCCGTGGTGATCGTATCCCAAGTTGTTATGGGAACTCTCTATGTCACCTGCATCCAGGGCGCCACGAAGCTCAACACTTACTACTCCTTAGGAGATGCTAACGTCTTCATAAGCCTTCAGCTGATCAAGCTCAACGCAGAAGCTGTGGGCATGTCCCTCGCCACCCTCACGGCCATGGTGCTTTATGAGCAGGCCAGTGACCAAAGCCCAAGCTAATCCTTCAATACCGCTGAGAGAGAGAGTCGTTCGAAGGTGGATGCTAGATTTTGCAAGAGCCTTTCAGCCTTTCCCCTTAAACCGTAAGCTTGAACCCAAGCCCTCGCCAATCCTCGGGAGCAACGTGAAACAGAAACGCGCCGAGACAGTGGTGCTTGAGGTTTTCCTGTTGTGCCGTGTTCGCGAACTCGTGACATATTACAACTTTCGTGAGAGCAAGACCAAAGTCGATCCAAAGTCGTTAAAGGACGTTTTGATGCCGACATCTGCGTAGTGCCAGAAGAGGGTGACTCGGGCGTCCTGCGGGAATCCTGAAATTTTCACCCAGCAGGTCCACCCCAACGCGCCCTTCATACTCAGCGCGGCTTTGAACTTGCAGCTTTGGCAACAGCTTGGGTCCGCTAAACTCTAAAGTTTTTTAATCTCCGCGGAACTTGACAAGGAAGCGTTTTTTTTGACTCGCTTGCCGGAAGCAAGGTGTGCTCTCATCGTGATCTTCGTTGGTTTCTATTTGCGCGTGGGTTGTGGACAATCTCTTGAGGCCAGGGAGGCCCAGCGGGCAGCGAGACTGGGTTTATCCCGGCAGAAGAGCTGGAAGTAAGTTAATGGTTGCGGGGCGAAAGCCGCGCCACGGTCGCCGCGAATTGATGATTTGTCCATGCGGCAGAAGGGAGACTGAGTTTATCCCAGCAGAAGAGCTGGAAGTAAGTTAATGATTGCAGGGCGAAGCCCAAGGGCCTCAAAGAAGCTCCAGGAAATTTAGCCCAGTAGCTACTCGTTCGTCAAAGCGAACGCAATGCATTCGCTGCCGCGAGTTCCCAAGCTTAGATGAATCATGTCTTTTTCAATGGCGACTCGAACATGTGAGTCGGTCGCCCAAAAAGCAGAAGGAGGACGAACAAACCCTCTTGTTTGCGTGCCGCGCACCGCAGGGCACCTCACGTCAGCTGGGGCACAAAGCGGTGCGGGACCTTGAGGCATCCAGCATCCAGATCTTATCCAAGCTTCCATGATTCATATTCAAGACCCCCACGAATGTTTTGTTGTCGCCATGGGTAAAATACGAAGGAAAACTCTGTCCTTTCGGGTCTTAGGCCAAACACCTTCGAGATAAATTTCCGAGGTGAGATCCACGAAAACAATCCACGAAAATAATAAATATAATTTACGAAGATGAATAGGATTATCTATGCAAATGGGGGTTGTCTACAAGCCCTGGATTTCTGAAGATTTTTAATTAAGATATTTGGATATAGATATCGTGT